GTGAAGTAAGTGATGCACATCAGTCTACAGGAGATATACAAGCTAATTTCGCTAATTGTCTATATCATGATTCCTCAAAATCTATTACATCAGTTTTTTTTTTATGCAAAGCGTGATCGTAGAAATGTTTGATATTTAACAAAGGTGAGACACAATAAAAGAATATTACAGATAGTCTTTAAATAGAATGCAAATTTGGTCCAACGTTTCACATATTTGATATATTGCTTTAAAAGTTTTATTCTTTGCTATGCATAGCATATTAACTATCATGAAAAGCATGTGGCATATGAATCTATGTTGCTGAATTTAAAAAAATAATACCACATACAGCCTCCATTTAAAAAAATGTGACGATCAAAATTTTAACAGTTCGAAACAAACACAATAACAAAACTTCCATGTAACTCTTTATTCAACGATGAAAAGCATAACAACATAAACAAATGATTCAGGAATATACTGTAAAAATTTCACATGTAGTTAATAAATTGATAAAATTTTAATGACTTTTGGGAGGTGAGTGTATGTAAAATGTATATCAATAGTAGGGAACAGAAAACAAATCGTAAACACACTAAGATATAATCAATGCATATCATATCAGACTAAAATGTTGAATTGTTATTGAAAGATGGATGTGAATGTGATGACTGACCTTATTTTGACTTTCATACTGCAATTGATCTTATATTCTTGAATCAGTCAAATAATCAAACTTCGCTTTGTTTTTTGTTTGTTTGATTGCTCAAAAAGTATGAAAAAATTCTACATTAACGGTTCTTTAAATTTGTTTGATTAAACAAAATATCATTCCATCTACCAATCTGCACGATAAGTAAATCACGTAAAGTTTTTTGGGGGGTTCTTGTTTCTTTTTTGCATTGTCTACAGCTATTAGAGCAAATTTTGCTGAGTTATTCTTGAAATAAGGAATGAATGAATGAATCATAATCAATTATAGCCTTATTTTTTACTCTGATTGAAGAAATTTATTTGTTAAGAGTTCTTATTCTTGACATTTTTTGACGAACCATTTTTTTTTTATTGTAATCATGTTCAAATATGCATATATTTCTATTGATTCATAATGCATGAGGGCATTTAATATTCATAACACTTGGGATATTTGTAATCCTTTCAAATATTCATAACTTGAAATATTGTTTTTGGAAAACCTTTTTTTAAATGCCTTTAGATAATAGATAGAAATAATAATAATAATAACATATCGGGGCCAGTGTTGTGACAACACTGATCGGGGCAGTCTCCAGCAAAACCAACCTTTGGAAAGTTTCAACAGAGCTTTTTGAGCTTGATTTTCCTAAGGAATATTATGAATTATTTTCAAATATTGATGTATTACAATGCACTGAACTTTTTTTATTAATGCGCAGCAAGCTATTGATTGTATCGTCCCAGCAAAAATAAGTTCCAGGATCATCTCTGGATTTCTTCCGGAGACTTCCTCAAATCTTTCAATAGGATCACATACACATTGTAAAAAGCCTAAAATGCGTGGAAGGCCTAAAGATGGTTTTACCTGGAATTACTTTGACGATGACGAAAATGGCACAGATTGGGTTTGTCAAGTAAAGACACCAATTTCTCTAGACCATCCAGAGGGTACATGTAATAAAAATATGCAAACATAGCAAATAACTACTATCAATCCAACTAATCATTTAATAAATAGTTCTATTAATATTCGAATATGTCCAAAAACCTTCGAATATGGAGCATAATTAAGAATCTCCGACGATCATAACCTATTTAGGACCTCGGATAATTATGGGTTTTTAATTTGGAAAATCGTTACTATTCCCAAAATGGATATATATAATAACTTTTTTAAATAAGATTTTCTTCGGACAGATGTCATTTTTTATATTTAAATTTAATTAATTTAATTAATTTAATTAATATATTTATTTGTCTAATACATTTGTTTGTTTACTAGTCAGGGAATACACCAAACTTGGAATTCCTTTCATTGAAAATAATAATAAATGTAATGTTTTATGAAACTTGGAGAGAGCTTTAAATGGTCATACAACTTCCAAAATCATGTATTATTGAATGCTTTACAAGCTTGCCGAAAAAAATCAATACCAATTATAATGATTGTTATTGTATATTACATATATTGATATTCGTGTTTCGATTTAATCTAAAAAAAATTAATAATTTAATATCTAATTCGTAAATTTTCCATTTTAATATATATATACATAAGGTTGTGTAATAACATTAATATGCAGTAAAGAAAATAGCGGGTTCTGATATTATTAAAACTATAGCAGTAATAAAGAAATCAATATAAATGAATGAATGAATTAATATAATAATTGTCGATATATTTAAGTAATAGCATACTTTATATACAATTAAAATAAAACATTGTTATTAGTGATGCCTTATATAAATGGAAATAATTGTAAAGTTTCGATAATCTTCAACTGGCTCTTTAAATATTTCGAATATTTCACTCACTGTGAATGAAGCAAATAAGTACTAGAAAATAGGTTTGGTGTTTTATCAACTATAGGTCAACGAATCCGAACTCCTGGTGCATAAATTTCCTTAAATTTAAGTAAAAACAAATAAACAGATTTTCGCAGATTTTCTGAGAAAGTTCAATAGTATTTTATTTTATTTTTTTGATTATTATAATGAAATCATATATGAATTGGTCAACAAGGGAATTCTGTATTTAGTATATTCCTTGGCTGTACTGAATGTGGTTAACAGGCAATCCCATTATCAATCAGACCAAACAGCAAACAACGATGTATTGTACTGGGTGCCCTTAATGGTAGCACAAGCGATAGGAAATATCAACCATAATACATAATATGTTAATATTAATATACAGTACAGTAGAATTTCCTTTTAATATAGGTCAATAAATAAATAAATAAATCTTTGATGCTTTATCCCTTACCTAAATTGAACCGCATGTACAAGTCTCTGGACAATCATATTAGATGCCACTTTTTAAATGGAAAATGAAAATTTTCTTATAAGCTCTGTATATAAAAATCGAAAGGTTTTACCATTTAATATTAAGATTTAAACCTTTGATATGGTTGTTCAAAGTCCTGCGACTATAATAACAGTAGATCGATTCCGCGTCCTTGCCATGCGATAAAAATTAAATATAAAATTTACACTTTTAATGAAAACAGTTCCGGAGTTTCAAAAGGCAATGTAATATAATAAATTTATTAGTCATATACAGTGCCTGGAAAAAATTATCGGACACTCAAATCAATCAGTGTTTGAAACAGTCCAGTCCGATAGTTGATGTGAATTTTTGAATAACTAATCAAATTCAGAATCCGGTGGTCCTGTTCACTATTAATTACATAATAATAATAAATGCAGCAAAAAAATTATATCAGTTTATATCTTAGGTTCTCGAGATTACGTGAATAAGAAATTTTATAGTTTTATATTTTATAAAACTCTGACAATTAAAAATAAAGAAATTCGATTCGATTATTTTTGAAAAAAAAAATTTCAAGTGAAATTTTTTGCGTAATAATGTGTCAAAACGTGATTTTGGTTACATTTGAAAAATATTGATGACATAATAATGTGTCTAAGATCCGTCAAACGTAATTTGATAACTTTTCAAAAGATATTGATGACATAATAATGCGTCCAATATCGATGGAGCTTTTTCTAATATTGAGAGAGATGGCGTGATTTTGGTTGCTTTTCCGATTGTTAATAATGAATGATCAACAAATGTTGAAACATGGCAATTAGTTATATAATCTATCATTTATTATTACATAATGAACGCTTTTTTATTAATCATTGTCTATTTTGGGAATGATATTTAGTGGTATGAAAATCTGGATTGAAAAACAAACAATGATTTCGCGGGAAAAGGATTGATTAATTTAGAGATGGTTGAAAAGTCAAAGAAATATTTATAGATGTAAAAAAAGTTTTTTATTGTGCTGTTTAGCAATAAAAATATAATATTTGTATTTCTCAAAGCCCAAGAAATAATAATCTCTGACTATGCTTGTAATGAAAGGCTCACTAAATAAAAATTAATTTTATTTATATTGTGTAAAAGATAAAATAATGATGACTAAAAACCAATTTCCCAATTAATATTAAAATGAACAAGAGAAATCATGGGACATTTAATGAAATAAAGTTCATTCATTCATTCATTCAATATTTTTTAGAAAAAAAGGAAATTTTATTGAAAATTGATTAGTATTAGAATTGTGGCTAATTGAATTTCCAACAACTACAAAAACTCTATATCATTCATAATTGGCATTTGGCAGCCGAACAGCCGATAGGTAAACGCCTAAATTCCAACCACACATTATTATGTAAATCGCTAATACACGTATGTCAAATAGTGTTAGTCATCAAAACTATTTTTGAAGATGCGAAAATCAAAACTAAAAGTCAAAAGTCGAACTAGCTTTGAAACATTAATATTGAACTTAATTCTGACAACCCGGCAATTAATTAATTGGCCCTCCAAGATGGGTTTTTCATTGATGGAAGGTTCTTTTATAGCGAAAATAGCGATCTTTTTTTATTATTATTTTATTAAACAAAAATCCGAACCATGCGTAGCCTTTTCCTGATAAACAAAGTGTCTAGAACCCCCTCCCACCGTAAATTTTTCAAGTACTAATTCATTCAAACATTTTTCTTTATGGGCGATCATGATGTATATAACGCGAATCCATTAATTTGGAATGGCCAATTGATATACTGTATGGAGGATGAACAATTATTTGGGATTTGTTACAGCTCATATACATACAAACATGGTAAAATTCAAATAAATAAAACCATTAAAAAATAAATTTATTTGTCATTAAATTACCCCAATGTCCTATTCTATAGTAGTTTGATTTAATAAATAAATCTTATTAATTATTTTACATAAATACATATATTAATTATTATTAAAATTATCATCGATCGATCCATACATGTAATTCATATATATATTATTAGGATTGACAAGTATGTGATGACCATGTCTCATTAATTTCAATACGATCATCATTAAAATAATTAAAATGATCATAATCACTACAAGTACTAGTATTAATATTATTATCGGAACCGACATCATTATCGTTCATATTATTAGTGTTCAAAACTTTTGTGCTTTTAAATAATGATAATATGTTAGATATTATTGATCGACTGTTGTTGTTGTTGTTGTTGTTGTTGTTGTTGTTGTTGTTGTTGTTGTTGTTGTTGTTGTTGTTGTTGTTGTTGTTGTTTATCATGTTGTTTTGATTGTTGTTTGTTTGTTCAGGACCGAGTTTGATCACAAAAGAAGGTTTTTTTGATCCTAATATTTCATCCGGTGGTGAATAATAACAACACGGTAAAAAGAACACTGCGGATTTCGTTGTACCGAATATTAAGAATAATACCACTCCACTAAAAATAATGATATAAAAAATTCTTTTTACAATTAATTGTTATTATTATTTTTTTTTTTTTTTGTAAATTTAACTCAATATTTACCTTGAAGAACAAATAAAATCGGAAACGTAATATGATTCATCACGATCCCCATCCGTTGAAAATTGTGGTTTTGTTAATATGACCGAGATAATATAAGTAGTTGTTAAACAGATATAAGATATTATATAGATGCTAGATCTAATCGCATACCCCAATCTAATTGCTGTTAAACGATTATGACATTTTTCAAAATTTTTCCAACGAAAAAATAAAACGTATAACGAATGACCTAAAAATAGACAAACAAACAAACAAACAAACAAACAAACAAAATTGAAGAATCAGTTAAAATGATGATGATTAAAGATGCTTTGGACAATTTTATATATATATATATATATGCACACACATATACTTACACACGAGAACTAATGACGCCGCCAACGATATACTAACCGCAATAAAACCCGCAATAAAAAGATCCAGCCCATCATCCAAACGAGGCTTACAATAATACCGGGTAACCATAGTACCCCGAAATCTTTTATTTCTATCCATAAAAACAATTATCAATGCGTAGGCTAACGCACCACCCCAAATAGAAATGGTGAAATACCAAAAACATGTTTTCTCGATACTCAAATCATTTTTTGATATTGCGTACCATTGATAAATTGCTAAAACTAAAGGAATTAAACATGCGGGGTATATAACGAATTGTGTCATACTCTTTTGTAGTATACAAATTAATGTTTTTGTGCTGCCGTCAAATGTTTGATCCATTAAACCATCACCATAAATTGTTATTGGAGTAATGGTAAAAATTTGAAGTAATAAGAGTACAACGCCTATTTGAAAAATTGTCCATTTCGTAAAGTAATATGGTGATTTGATTAATGAATATAATTGAAGTATTGTTGAAATCATACTTGCAACTGTTATGCTAATGAAAAGCGACGTTAAAAGTGAATATGTTGGCATTGTTGACGTGTAATTTTTATTTTAATATTTAAAAAAATTTTTTTTTTCAAAACACAAAAACTCTCCTTTTAACACAATTTATAGATAGACATTTTATTGTTCTAATGGTTTTAACGGTAATGCACCAATTAATAAAAATCTTCATTCATTAACAATTCGAACTTTTCCAATTAGGGAAAAAACCGTAAATATTATCCGAATAAAGGGTATCATCAAAAATTCAATGCATAATAATAAAAAATACAATTCAGTGCATGCATGCTATCGAAAATAAGCACGAGACAACGTATGATCTCTGTTTTCTAAACAAAATGAAAATAATTATAAAAACGACGTGCATGTATAAGTCCTTTCTTTATTTATTTTACTCTGGACAAAATTCTAGTGGTCTTAAAAGCTTTGCTACACGAGGTACAATACTTTCTATCCTATTTCTTAATATTTCATCATCGGTTGTAATCTCCTATTATTGATTGTTGTACTTTGTTGTTAATGATGATGGAAAAGGAAAATCACGCAACTAACAAAAAACAAACAAAAAAAAAGTAAACGTACCAATGTTCTAATATTAACTTCGGCGATCATATTGTCCACTTTAATAATAATCTCTTCATTTGAATCCGTTTTACTTATTGCATCACCGAATTGCTTTTTAAAATAATTTTCTGCTATTTGCAATGCTGAAATCTTTGTTGTCGTCATTTTCTCTGTTTTATCACCGTCACCTTCCGATTTGTCGGTATCCATTGCGTCGTGTTCATGATCTTCCAGTATATGAGTGTGATGCGGAGGACTTGTAACTAAAAAATTAAATTAAATATATTGTGAAACATTATTATGCCATTAAGATATATATATGTGTGTGTGTGCGTGCATATATATACCTTTTACAGAAGCAGGACTGCTCTCAATATTTAGAATAACTGCGGATACAGAGTCAGCAATTTTGTCGTTCATGGATGTTCCCAACCATTCAAGCTGCACCTGATTTTTACCAATGTGTCTAACTTTTACCGAGTCTAAGATCTTGAAAATATAAATATATATAATTATCAATTAATTAATTAATAATAAATTACAATTTATTTACGCAAAAATGTTAATAAACATACTGTTATAGTGGGCACATCCTCACTATCTATAATTTCTTCAAGCACGCCATACATTTGTTCCAGATGATACTTTAATAAAGAAAATGATGAACTGTATGAAATCGATTGTTTTTGAAGGATGGATGATGTAGTTATTCCACTAAATTCTTTAAGATCATTTTCATCCATGATATTGAATTGGAAATCTTTTGATACAATTATTCCAGAAACAATTTGATTTTCCACAGGATACTTTGCTGCTAATTGACCTATAGTCTACAAATAAATAAATATTTTACAATTAGTATTGGAACTGGAGTTAGAATAAAAAATATAATGATTATTAGATTATAATTTATTTTTTTACCTTTGCTAACTTTTCACCTTGGAAAAATAATCTTATTGTTTCACAATTTTTTGGTGAAAAAATCCTAATATTTTCTTGGCGTTCATTAAATTTACTTTGTAACGCTGTTTTCAACCTTGCCATTGAATTAGATTCTCCATGTACAAGTACCTACATCACATCATTATAATTATAATTATCATTATCATCATCATCATCATCAAATAACTTTTGTATTTAAATACTAAACTTAAAAAAACTAAAATGAGATGTAATACCAAATATGGTGCCTTAATTTCATCTATGAATTTACTGTTTTGAGTGTAATCTACATGCGCTGAAAAAGAAATATAATCAACTGACATTCGTAATGGGATTTTGGTTCCAGACATCGCTTGTATTTCCGGTGGCTCCGTCATAACATCCTAAACAAAATTAAAAATAATAGATATTTTGAATTTAACCTTAATATTATAACCCCCCAAAAAAAGAAAACCTACTCGAGCTAAAGTTCCATCTACACAATATCCAGTTATTACAAGTCCGTTTCTTTTGTCTGGGCACCATCTTTCAAATAATTCTCTTGATAAACCACTCTATTCAATACAATGAACAATGATAATATGTTAGATTTTATATATATACCATATTCAAATATACTTGCATATACTTGTATACAAATACACACATATATAATTCACTTTCTCAAGGTATCCTCTCTAGGTGTAATAAATAATTGTACCTGCAACATACCCGGACTTGCCATCATAACACACGGACCAACATCATCAAAATTATCCAAATTCTTAAGATTTGAAATATGTTTGAAAACAAAAGGATTTGAAATGGCAAATTGTTTGCGTATTCTGGAATTCATCATATTGATATAGGTTTGATAAACAGCCATACATTTTTTTGCCAAAGATGATGCATAATAAATTGGCACCGATTCCAATTCAGGATGAGCTTCCCAATACTCATCAAGAATCAATAATAATTCTTGTGCACGACCCAATGCATAAACTGGCATTAGACATCTTCCACCACGTTGTACGATATCATGAACAAGACCTATATTTAAAAAAGTATATGTAAATAGTTGAATAATTATAATTTATTATCATAATAGTTGGATGTTTATCTACCAGTAAATCTTGCTTCTTTTTCTAATCTTGGTTCATGACTCTGTACACCATAAGTGGATTCAGTAATCAATACATCAGATTGAGTATGAGGAAGTTCAGCTGCCATTAAATGTCTATCTTCTTCTCTTGAATAATCACCCGTGTATAATATCTAATAATATAATGTATATTTTAAAATATAGGAATGTCATTTTATTTCACGAGAAAAAATAATAAACTATTTTTTTCATCACTTTTCACTCTACTCTATAAAACAACATTGTTACATTTACTACTATTACTCTTACTAACTTTAACACCAGCTATTTCAATTAAAAACATAGCAGCACCTAAAACGTGTCCAGCATTATAGCTCGTAAATTTTATTCCTTCAACCTCAACTTCTTGATGGTAATCTACTGCTTCAATCTTATCATAGCTACGTTGTAGATCTTTTTCATCATAAAGCATATCATCTAGAGCAACATTACTAATGATGATGATCATGGTTATGATGATAATGTTAATATTTTTTCTGCAAAAAAAAATTTCCCGAAATAATTGAAGAATAAACAAATAACTTTCATGTTGTTAATTACCTGACCCTCACATAATCAGATAATAGCCATTTGTAAATGGCTTTTGTTGGGTGAGTCATAAATACACGACCTTGAAATGTAGTCTGTTTTTACAATTAATTAATATATGCTTTTTTCTTTTAATATGATATGCTTTTGTGTATTTTAACAGTGATAATAATGATTATAATAATAACAACTAATAACGTTTTAATAAAATAGACAAACAAACCCTACTTTTTCTAGAAAATAAGGTAATGATGCAGCATGATCCAAATGAAAACTAATAAATTAAATTCATCCATTCATTAATATGAATCAAATAAACAAATTATGATTAATCCCTTTATTTATTAAAATAAATAAATAAATAACACATACTGGCTAATGAGTAGAACATCAACAGTAGCAGGGTCAATCTCATCATAAAATGGAAGTGCGGCAAGTCCATTATATGCAGGATGTACACCTGCATCAAGCTAAATAATGTATATATAAGAAAAAAATATTTTTATATATAACTTCGAAAAAATCCAAACATACACACGTTTTTTTAAAAAAAAGAAAGATTCTCAAATAATAATGATATACCATAACAGTTTTACCCTTGTATTGAATCACTAAACACGATCTTCCTACTTCGTTACCAGCGCCTAAAGCTGTAATGTGTAAAGCATCATTTTCATTATTAGTATTACTATTATTATTCTTTTGTATGGAAGAAATTTCAAAGTTTGTGTTTTTTGAGCTCATTATTGATCGTTTTCAATCTGTGATTAGATTAGATTAAAGTGAAAATTCAAATTTAGCGATGATCGACGTGAAATTAATATTAATATTAATCTGAACCCCGTTAATCCGAAAACCCCATTAAAATGAACCTTTTTTAAGCCGTCAAGCAGTAATCTTTTACTTTTCGAAGCCACTTCTATTGATTAAGTTACCTCGATATATTAGATACTGCAATTCGCTTTCTCAATAACGACCCTTCCGTCCCTATATGTAATTTTTCTACCTTTGTTTATTTATAAAGAGAGAATTAATTATAAAAAAATGAACGGAGGACAAAAGTGAGGTTCGTTATAGAGAGGGTGGACTGTAATGGTCATTTAATGAGTGAGTGGTCTTACCCACTGAATTCTCCGATTAATCTACCGATTGTTCGTATATTAATATTAATATGCACAAAAAATAGTTTTAAAAATTTATTATTCAAAAAAGAATATTATCTTTCCATTAAAAATAAAGAGATCAAGGGTTAATCGATTATCCAATCGTTGAATATTGATAATAACGATAATGACATGACTAATCGCCGCTTATCCGATCATCCAATCGTTGAATATTTTCAACGATTGATTAATAACGTCAATGAAATTTCTACATTCGATTAATCGACGAATTTTATTCAGTGGGTAAGATCTGTCAATCCATCGGCCCAATTAACTCGAAGAAAAATAAGATATTAATCGTTTTATTTTTCATATCGATTTTTATAATAATAAATGAAACAATCAGTGTTGGTATCAGATTATAATTATTATTCTGACCACACGTATCTATTCAACAACACATTAATTATATAATACATATGATGGCGTTTATTTATTATAAAAATTAAAAGTCTTTGTGGCAACGTTAATGTCAAACTTGAATGCTGAGACCTAAAACTCATTTGAATTTCCGAAATAGTTCCGGGAGAGGAAACTCAACCAAAACTTCTACTCGAATCTAACCTTGATATGATTTTTGCTGCAGCTGAAAGATTGTAAGAGATTAGGTTTTATAAGAATTGCATTATTTTGTATGTGTTTGGTTTCGGCAGTAGTTTGGGCTTCAGCAACAGTCTAGGTTTCGGAAAATTACTAGTTTCGGCCTTCCTTAAACTTAACAGCATAATTAGAGATGGGCAGATCAGTACTATACGTATAGTGCGTATAGTTCTAGAAAAATATAGTAGTAAATGTAAATCAATTCCTGTTTAGGTTATTACCAAATAATAGATGTAATATTACACATAAATACTCTTCTCATGATATATATATTTTAAACTTGCCTGCAATTTGGCAACATTTTAATATTAACGTTCTAGTTCAATATCTAGATGTGAAAAACATTTACGTCTTTGTCCAAATGCCACAATTCAAATTAAAAGAAATTATTTTGGAGAACATTTTAATACTTCAAATACTAACAGTGTACAGATAAATTACAACATAATTGAAAATTTCATCAAAGAAGCTGATGAAAATTTTATTGAAGAATCAAATAAAAATGAAAGCAGTTTGATTTTTATAATATTTAATTCATTCAATATAATTAATGATTCATAAATAAAACCTAAAAAAGTGTAGGTTGAATAAATTAAAGATTTGTGCTTATCGTAATAGCCAAATTATTATTTTTTTTTTCTTATTATTATTATGTATTTGAAAATCACCCAATCAAATTTCAACACTACTATACGTACTATACGTACTATACGCACTATACGTAAAGTATCGTATAGTATCGTATAGTGTTCAACTATACGACATTTTCCCATCTCTGGACATAATCATTCACGTAATTTAATAAATTACAGAATTAAAGTGAAAGAACAAATAACAACAAGTATGATGCTATAATTAGCCACTCAGAGAAGTTGTCGTTAAAGTTGTTGTCGCCAAAAAAATTAAAACCAATTAGGTGACCTAATATCTTATTTTTCTTGCCGATCTTGTATTTAATGTTTGATGGTTTTTGATAACTTTCAATTATCATCTATTTTGTATTATTCTCAATATTTCTATTTTTATGTTCATATGAAATGTTAAATTATTGTAAAATTACAAGGTTATCCTTTTTTTTCGTTATTATAATCATTGAATATTGGCTCAGTTTCAATAAACTTAATAAATATTTAATCCAAAAAGTGTAATGCGACAATTTACTATGCCAATAGATTATGGTCAAGTAAAGAAATACTTTAATTGAATACAATTTTGATGAAAAATAATGGCAACTATGGCGATATTATGGGTCGTGATGATGATGATAATGTTGGAAATTTAGTGATGATGGAAGCGTTATTAGTAATGATGATGATGTCGATGATGTTGATGTTGGCAATGTTAATATTAAGAAGTCCAAAAGAAGCAACTGAAAAAATTAGAAAATATCTTTAAAAATTGTTTTTATAATTTATTTCTGTACACAGTAAACCTCGATTTGGCAAGTTTGGCCCAAGAAATTTATCCGCTAAATCCGTAAAAACGAGAAATTTGGAATTAACAGATTTTATAACAAAAACACGTGATAAAATCTATATCAAAATCGTAATAAATTTAGCAATATATAAAATATGTTAATAATATTACTTTAGGTTGGTTTAAATTTTCTTCTGATCGGTTTTGTGGGTACATATTTCAACTTTATTATTAAAAGTATAGTTTATTTTTTTAAAACTGTTAAAATTTTCTTTTTGATTATAAGCAAGGGTGGATATTTCCTTCTCTTCATATAATAATAAGAAAAAATTTTTTTATTGTCTAAATCATAAGTTTTATTTCCTCGAATCATTTACAAGTCATAAGTTTTAATTTTAGAAATAATTGGTTTTATTTAGATTTTAATTATTAAAATCATAGATGTTGGAATCGACTAAACTTTTTTTTGAACAACTAATAGTCGATTAATTAGACAACTACTAATATATACTAATAAACTATATTAATATTGATAATTATTGTCTGATACTGAATAAAAAAACGATTTTTGTGGTACAAAAAAAATTTTACCATTCAAAATGGAAAAATTTCTGTGCGTAGGAGTATTAATGCCATCAATATGATGATGTTGACAATGGTGGTGGTGTTTTGATGATAATTTTACATGCGAACTAACAAAAACTTCCAATGATTTAAGCAGTGGTTCCAGAAGACTTTTTTTTTAAAAAAAAATCGTAACACTTGGTTTTGTGTGAATGTGAAGTATTTTGAAAGTGTGAAAGATTCAAATGGAATCCGTAATTTGTAAATTTTAATAGCAATGAAATATTAATATTTAAAAAAAAAATTTTAGTCGACTAATTAGTCGATTAAAGAAATTTTGATCAGCTAGTAGTCGACTAAGAATTTTTTGGACGATGTCAATATGAAGAATGAATGCGTATCACATCAAACCACGCATTCATTCTTCAACAGTCATTCAAAAACAATTTGGATATATATACAAACACACAAACGTTGAAGGAAAAGCATCAGTTATAAAATTATACCCACCACACAATCCCTATTTACCCATGGTAAAACACAGCAGGTGTAAAGTCATAATCACTTTTTCTTTAAAAATCCCTTTTCTTTATTTATTTCATAAAAGGCCAATTAGCAATCTTTCGAGCTTTCACTGCATCAGGATCAGATGTTTTAAAAAGGAAATGTTAAAACTTTTAAATGCCATTTAATTTCTCAACGTATACTTCTATTCTAAACTTGGTTTAAACGGCAAAATGCAATTATTAAACAACCTTTTGTTTCATATGATCAATATACTGTGAACTGGTGAATGTTTTGTAACAAAGTCCTGGATTGTGGCAGTGGGATCCAGAAACAGGACATTTTCTTGTACTGTTATCATGATTAATTAACATGGAAACTTCTGAAACTGTTGCTAGTCGTGATCGATAAAAGACTACCATTCATTATCTCCAATATAAAGTTTTGTAGTAGAAGTTTTTATACTTTATTATGGTGAAAGATTATTGTTAAATATCAAATAAGTTTATACAATGAATGCGACAACAATGCTACTTTTCTATGCTTCTACTACTTAAGAGTGGATTCTTTTATTAATTCAACTTCTCTCCCAAAAAACCTTTCTCTTGATACATACAATTTCCTATTTATGCGTTATTCTTAGAATTGTGGTTTTAGCAACGAGAGTAACAACAAAAATCAGAATAAACTATTATTATTGTAACTTAATGCTTGTTAAAATTCAGTTAACATGCGAATTTTTAATAACAATAATGTTTGGATAAAAAAATATTATCGTGGGAGAGAAAATTTTTTTCTTAATAAATAATTAGAATTGTAAATACAGGAATTTGATGTTGTAGATATTGGTAAAAAAGAAGTCAAGTAATGTTTGCACGTCTTGAAAAAGTTGAAGAAGAGAAGAGAAACCAGACACAGGACTTGTACATTTCTTAGGCTTTTTTTTTTTTTTTGTCCAAAATCTACGATTTAATCGCTTTACACCACTGAAATTTATTACTTTTTTTTACATCAATCAATCATAAAGATTGTGGTGGGCAAGCAAGGCTACAATCTTTAATAATATTGCTCTCTCAAGAAGTTTGCGTAATCCCAAAAAGTGGAGTCCCACTTATTAATGGCATTGTGGCTTCGCGTAGGATATTTATCATGTATTGATACAAAACATCCTGATTATGCGCGAGATTTAATTAAATTTTTTGATTATGGTTAAGATCATGTGTTCCAAGTTTTAGAACTTGGGAAATGTAGCTTGCCATTATTGATTCAACTTGTATCAATATTAATTCGTCGTAGCAAATCTCTTGCTAACACGTCAAAAACAAAAAAAAACCATTTATTGATATACTGTATGTAACGAATATTCATGGAGATTTTCCTAAAGATAAAGTAATAATGCTGATTGATATATATACACACAATGAATCTCGGTTTAGCCGACCTTGATTTAGCGGATACTAATTAAAAATCACGGTTTAATAGATGAAGTTCAAAGAACAATAAAGCTTAATAAAAATCTTTTCGATATAACGGATTTTCTCTAATTTATAGTTGCCGTTAAACTGTGTAAATATCGATCTATTTATTTCAATCAAAATAGAAAATGCCTTTATATTTCTTTTTAAAAATAATAATTCAGAAATAGTTTTGGGAGACAATCTATTTCTTCTATTTGCTGATATGAGAAAATAATCTTTCTGACGGAGCAGATGATGCACTTGAGCATAAATATTTATTTGCCAACATTGCAAGAGTTGGCAAATTATTCTTTCCCTCCTTCCACCAAACAAGTGGATCAAAGTTGCCAGCAATATTCGCTATACTTGAATATTTTGTCAATTCACCTTAACTAATTTGTTGTGGAGTATCTAATAACTGGTCAAACACTGTGTTTTGTGATGTATTACTGCAGCTGACCTTTAGAATTTTTCTCCATCGACTTGATTTCTTTGATAATATTTTATGTCATATCTAATGAAGATCTTAATGATTTAAAGCTTCATCAGGAAATTTTCCCGCCGCAATATTACGTCCGTAAATTTTAATATTTGCATAAAAATTATGTAATATTTACACTCGATGTAATAATTGCATAATTTTTGTATGCTTATTTGCATAATATTACGGGCCCGCCGTAAACTTACGTAAATAGTGTAATAATTACGTAAATCTGCATCAGAAAAATTTCCTGATGTTGGATCCCTATTTGCGGAGTAACTGACCGATGATTTAATAAAGAACTATATAATGCATTAATAGAATAAAAACTCGGCAATTTATATTATATATACAGTGAACTCTCCATAAAGTGCACCCTTGAGAATGGATGAGAGTGTGCATTTATGGAGGGATGCATTTATAGAGGGGAGGAATTTTATTGGTTGCACGTGATACTAATAAAAATAATTTTTAAATTTGTTTAATAAAAGTAACCAAAAATAAAATAAGAAAATTCTAAAGAACAATTAGGACAAGTTAATGCCATTGAGTGATACATTGATTTGAAAAAAAAATTCAAACCACAATGAAACAATTTTTTTAGTCAACAATAATATATTTAATATGTAATAATAATAGTAATTATATTTATCCTTTGTTTAATCCTTAATTTTTAATTTCGCGTATATATAATTTTCTCCAT